CTGTGTGGTCTCACCTTTATTGTATGCCAACCTGCCCGGCGATGGAGGAAGAATACCTACTGTCAGGAAAGGAAGGAGGGAAGGGGGGAGTAGTATTATCAAATAGCTCAATTAGTTAGGACTTAACCAAGATCATCAATCTACCAGTTCGCACCGCACCGATTAGTTCTGGTGGGATACTTACCTACTCGCATATCGATATCGGTCCAATCTGATCGATTCCCTACACTACCGATTAGACGAAAACGAGACTGAGACAGAAGAATCGGATGAAGGTAGCTCGACCGCTTCGGACGACGAGTTTGTGGAGGGACCTCTCGCGGTGGTGATCCCTACCCGTCGGGAGTAAACGGAGTTGGGATAGAGGAAATGTACGTGGACCATACCGGCTGGCCGACAGGAACTCTATCGAAGAACCACAAAAATAATCTACAAGTCGATTGAATGCTCGCGTGAACAGAAGACAGAGCGATAATCATTCGCTAAACTAAGAAATACAGACATGATCACCGCCATTCGTTACTCATCAGGCTAGATATATTTAATGGCTTTCTGCCCGAAGAGACATTTTGGAAGGTCGCCAAAGCCAACCAAGCGCTTCATCATACCGAGGTAAAAGCCGACTCAACAGCAGAGGAATTGGTGGAGACAGGGCAGAAGGGATTAATTGATGCCCTGGCAAGAGATCAAGAACCATTTTTTCAGCCCAAGCTACTATGAGACATTGGAAGAACTTCAGGTGCCACAGATAGTGGGTACAAGCACAGCCGAGCTTGTTGAAGAGCATATCTCCCTGTGAAAGAATCATAGACAGCAGAGCGCAAAGAGGAAGCTATCACATCGGACAATAGTATCCCTCGGTATATCACCATCAAACAGAACATACTAGACTTCCCTAGGGTAAATCCAGAAGCTGAACTTGCTGCGGCTGGTGTACAGGGGCAAATCCTGGTATTTCTAGGGGAATGTCGTCGGCAAGATGTCTGGGTTGATTGGCACGATACCCTTATGATGCACAGATTCCATATGCTCTTCGTTACTGTTTATGAGTCGCTCTGGTGCACATTATCAACCGAACTTATGATGGTTCGTGATGGATCACAGTTCCAGCAGAGGTTGAGGTGATATCCTATCCCTTCAGAGGCCATATTTAGAGCTGACACTTTGTAAGCAGGGCTAGCTACCAGTGGCCCTACGAGATGTTTACGCAAGGATACGGTAGTAAAGCCTGCTGCCTCTGTGGATGAAGGTGTTATCACATACGTGGAACACCAGCCAGCGGGAAAACCGTCAATGCACTCTTGGGTTCGAATAAGGAAGTGTCGACATGATAAGAACACGATCTGAAGTAATAATTATCCCAGCTTACATGGGTAAGTCCGTCGGTCGGACATATCATAGACCTTGCAACAACAAGGCATAACTATGACACCCCAAGTCTCATAACCCATCTAGAGGCACTTACACTAGCCAGATAGCAATAGATCGCTCAACATGAGATATAGACATTCTTATCCTGGGCAAATGAGATCTGACGAACCATTTCATCACAGCACAACAAAGTCGCCATCAAGGTAGATATACGCTTCTGAGAGACGCAACCGAAAGGAGTACCTCTTATTAACTACAGAATTGTTGACTTGATCGACGGGTCGACAAGGCTGCGATATTCAGGAAAGAATATCTCGCAGTACCTTCAGGGGCGTTTATGTCATATCGATCGAGGTATTCTGTTATACAACCGAAGCTAAAGCGCGGAAGGTGCGTTTCATTTGTTCTTGATAAGCTCTTTTTTAAGAATTGGAGGTGGGGAGACGGATACTTATTGTACTCCAGGCTTGCAATAATAAATTATAAGTCAGAATAGAAGGCATGGGCCTGGCTTAAATGAATACCAAGCGGCAGTTTGTTTGCTGCAGGAGCGGGGCGATAAGTTCGGTCGTTCTGGGCGGCGCTCTCTGTGTGTCAGGGGGAACCTTTCAAAGTTGCGTTGTAATGGTCGAACTATGGGTTTGTTCGGTCGTGCGTGCGGCAACTGCATTTGGGCCGAAAAAGGCTCAACTTGCAAGCATTCCTCACTGTTCAAGAACGAGATGAAGGGCGAAACTTGAGACGAAGCAATCTGGTTTTGACATCGCATATTCCTTTTTACACAATCTACTGTATTGTGAGTAAACCTATCGGTCGGAATTTCCATGCCGGTGAGCTACCATAGTCTGGTGTTCTTGGTGCACTGAACACGAGGCCATCTATAGGCATGATAGCAAGATAAGGCTGCGCGGTCTTCGAGCGAGACCAGAAGCATTGGGATGCAATGTGGGGATGCGACCAATGCCGATGGTTATATTGCCATTATGAAGACTATTATAGTCTTTACCTGGTATAATAATCCATGCGCAATAAAATGTAAGCACTCGTATTCGTACTGGGGACAGTTCCAATGGTGTTATGCCAGCTGTCCGAAAGACTAGTTCTTTGTCCCGCAGATTCAGTCAGCCTCAGGCGAGACGATAATATTTTCCCCCGACACTTCACCGACACTTCACAATAATCTCAGTATCTTAAACGGGTACCATTACTAGTATATTGAAAGGAACAAAAAGTACTCCGTACATCATGGTCGAAAGGTCTTTGACCGGAGCATGCCTGTGTGGAAAGATCACCTACCGTGTGGATCTCCCCGCTGGCACGCCATCCCCCAAGGTACTGACGATCAACACCTCCCCACCCATCGCCATGCTCCTGGGCAATGTAGATCCGCCCTAAACTAACATTGATTGCTCACCAAGGTTGCTCTCTGCCACTGTGAGGACTGCAAACGGAACACGGGCACGCCCTTCTCGTCGAACCTCCTCGTCCCCAAGCCCACGTTTACCTACACGGCCGGAACCCCCAAGGTTTACGCCCATCCGTCTGGAGATCTGGGGAACGAGCTCCAGCGGCACTTCTGTGGGGATTGTGGGTCTCCACTCAATACGCAGCCAGGTGGGAGAGGAGTTGTCACGGTCAAGACGGGCACATTAGATGCAGAGTCTCGTGGCGAGTTGGGCTTAGCATTGGAGATCTATTGCAAACGAAGGGAGCCATGGGTGGATCAGATCGGTAGCGTGCCCAAGGCTGAGGCCATGCCGTAGCTTGTCTTGTCGTGTCGTGAGATTTATATGTGAAATACTCGCAATATTATAGGTGCAGGATCGACTATAGCCGTTGTATCATGGCTAAGTAATTCATATAGATGGTGACAACCTCGGGTTCTGCTCGGTAACTCTAATCAGGTTTACCCCGCGTTCTTCAGGGTTATCAGATAAGCATCTGGACTTCCCCCACAACTGCCAGCTTTTTCTTCGCTCTGTCAAAACAGACAACTTCATTCCATCTACCATCAGCACACAAACCAGACAGCAACATGGCGCCCCCCACCGCAACCGAGACCGCTCCGCCCATCACCCTCGAAGCCCGCCAGTCCACCCAGGAAGCCGGCGCCGAGAAAGCCAAGGTGAAGATGAGCATTCCCCGACCACCCGTATTCGACGACAAGATGAAAGAGCGTGAATACCTGAAGGGCCGACTCGCAGCGGCCTTCCGCATCTTCGGCAAGTATGGATACGATGAGGGTATGACCATCCCACCAAACGCACTACGATCTATGGGGTAGAACGTAGGATATGAACGGGCAGCTAGCTTACGATCTATATCGACGGAACACAGGCGTGGCCGGCCACATCACCCTTCGCGACCCCGTCGACCCAAGCACATTCTGGGTGAACCCCTTCGGCGTCGCCTTCTCTCAGATCAAAGCCTCAGACCTGATCCTGGTCAACCACGCCGGAGAGGTCATCGACGGCGGTCCATGCCGACTGCTCAACGCTGCCGCCTTTATGATCCACTCGGCCATCCACGCTGCTCGACCGGACGTCAACTGCGCAGCCCACAGCCACAGTCTGCACGGTCGCGCATTCTGCAGTCTCGGTCGACCATTGGATATCATCACCCAGGATGCGTGTGCCTTTTACAATGTCAGCTATCCTGCACATCGTGGTCCGATCCCTCCTTTGCTGACTCATGGTACAGGATCACGTCGTCTACAAGCAGTTTAACGGCATCGTCCTCGCCGAGGATGAAGGAAAGAATATCGCCGCGGCACTCGGCGACAAGAAGGCGGCTCTATTGCAGAATCACGGTCTCTTGACGGTCGGCAACACGATCGAGGAGACCGTTTTCTGGTTCGTCAGCTTGGAAAAGTGTTGCTATGCACAGTTGTTGGCGGACGCGGCGGCGGCGGGCCGAGGCGGACAGACGATCAAGGTGGACGATGCCGATGCGGCCTTCACGTACAAATCTGTGGGAACGCGGTTGGCGGGTTATTTCAGCGCGAAACCGATGTTTGATGTGATCCATGAAGAGACGAAGGGAGCTTATTTGAATTAGCGGGCTTGCTTTTCCTATCCAGGATGTCTTAATGAATGTGTCTTCTTTTCTGCCAAGCTCTGTCTATTTCATACTGATATAAAACGCGATGAAACTACCCTGATTTCCCTTTTCCACGGTAAATGTAGAACACCCCGTAGGATGGAGGCAAATCGTTGATATATGTCATTCATTATATCTGAAATGAGAGAACTCATCACACACAAGGTTGGTGTGGACGGAGTAGTTGGGAGCAAGGCGAGGGCGAACAAGCTAATATCGCAGTAAGCTATCCTAGTCCATCATAGGGAGAACTAAAAGATTGAAAATACTACAAAGTAGATAGAAAGAAAGAAAGGAATAGCGAAAGCTGCCATGGTTGCCATAACTAGATTGAAATTAACGTTCAGTGCGCATTTCGTTCTCTCGTGAAAATAAACGCTTCCAGCCATCGTGCCAAAAGTTCAACATAAAACAAAGATGGTTGACCTTCGCTTGTTCTACAAATTGATGGCTTAGGTAGTAGCAGTTGGCCACTTTCCACATCCCTCCAGTATCGAATAGTCAAGATATCAGGCCGTCGGGACGCTGACTCACCGGGCGAGCCATTCCATTTCCCACGCTGCCAGTAACTCGATCTGTGCGTCATACCTCAGAGTGAGAAACGATGCATCCCCTTGGGCCCTCTTTCGCAATGTCATCTTCATGCCCTCACATAGTCGTTGGCTGCGGTCTTGCTCGGATAGTGGTGTTGGGAAGTCGTCCTCCAACATTCCCAGGTAGTTTGCAAAGTCTCTCACGCTTTCATCGCGGCGTTGTCGAGCGATAGTCCATAGATGGCGCGCCATCTTCGGCGTCGCAGGCCTTTCGATCTGATGAAGTAGAAAGGAGCAGAACTCGTCCCAGGTATATGTTCGGTCGCTAGACTGGGCATATGTCGTCCACTCATCGAGAACAAGGCGCGATAGATGTCTCTTTGCTTCGGCAATCTTGGTTTTATCGACAGCGAAATACCATTGGTGTGTACGAAAGAAACTGCGCAAGTTGCTGACCAAGGTAATATATAAAGATCGATCCTGCCCGCAATATCTTTTGGATACGGGGAGCTTTGGCACCTCTGCCCCCTCAGTCGATGTGAGATTACCACTAGCGTTACTATTACCGGTAACAGGTTCGGGTCTCGGGTGCGACGGCTTCGCATTTATGCGTTTCTTATCCACGCGGATAGCCCTGCCTCTTGGAACTGGAGTAGGCGGATGCAATCGATTGAAGGAGCGGCCGCCAGTCGGTGTTTGTGATGCGGTCACATGAAGACGGTGTCGAGCGTCAGTCAACAACTGGTTCTCGCGCGCAATCTCATTACGTAGGTGCAGTACTTTGCGTTTGTTGCGGATTTGCGCTAATTGACTTTGCAGACGAAGGATCTCCGCGGTGGTGTCGGCCTGGTCTTCTGCGATTACCGAATTTGAGGCCATTGCGTCCGTGACGCGACAGGCACGATCAGGTCAATAATGAGGTCGGTTGTTCGAAGCGTGGCCCCAGTGGGTACCAATAAGATAGGGAGTAGTGCAGCATATCCATCACGGGCAGAGGCATATTCACATCGACAAGGGAATTGAAGTGTTTGTGTTTCGATGGATGGTATTCACTGTTTCTGTTTCTGGCCTGGCGTCACGTGGTGCCGGGCGTGTGGTCGGATTGCCATTTCGGGTTAAATTACAGCCTCGATCTCATTGGCCAATGGGATGACGTGATGCCTGGATACCTGAGGTACGATTGACACCTGGCAGGGGCTCACGTTTTCCTGTCATGATCAATGTCCACTCAAATCCATGTCCATGTGCATGTCCTGTGGCGGATAATTTTCCATCAAGTCGGGCCGATTCGGAGGGCGTCTGATCCATTGGCACCATACCATGCATTAGAGATGCATTAGCAAGCATCATGCTCAGTCTCCACCCATTCAGTATGGAGAGGTTCATGCGACGCAGTGCTAGTGAGACTGGGTATGTGCTATTTGGAGCTGAGCTTCCTTGCTTAGTTGAATGTCACTTGGAGAAAATCAAGGAAACAAAGACAAAGGAAAGAAAAAGAATAAGAATAAGAAAAAAGAAAAATTCATGACCCCAGTTCCATCCAGGCTGAACGAGCTTAACGAGATAGGGCTAATGAGTCCGGAAACGGCAATTCTCTTGGCACGCTGAGGGAAAATACGACAATCCTACTGCGTACGACTCGAGTCTACTGGCGTTTAGTCCGATCCTCGCAACGGCACTTCCAGGACTAGTCTCGAGCCGAGTGTCGCGGTGCCAATGACGCTATACACGGCGGGTGGGATGATCGTTTAGCAGCAGATTGGACGTCGATCCGGATGGGATCGACGGCATCAGCGACCGTTCAGCAGACTGATTGCCAAGGGATTGGCGCAACCCCTCACTGGAGAACTGCTCCAACTGCTAACTGCGAATCTGACCGTGTCGATCATTCAACCAACGGACTTTGCAAACCCTGCTTGCTTTCTTCATCACTCCCCATTCATCCAAGCTTCCAATCACTCTCTTCCTCCCCTCTCTTTTTTTTTTCTTTCTCCACTTCTCCCTCTCATTAACAACCAACCCCCGGTTGTAATGATGAAGATATCGTTGCGCTATCAGTAGTTATCTAAAAACGATCTCCCGTCTACCACTGGTGTTGCACGGGTTGCAATCGTCGCCAACATGTTAACTGCGTGGAGACGGTTTTTCCATCCGTCGGTAAACGACGACGTGTCCAGTCCCTCGTCGCTGTACGACGAGAAATGCGGCCAGCTCGAGGTCAATGTCACGGAATCCAGTCCGCCAAAAGCGACTGGCGCGGTCAAAATCGAGGCTGTGGAAGCTGTGGGCGGCCGGAAGGGACGATATCTCCTCTATATCGGGTATGTCCACAATCCTATCTTAGTACTCCTGTTTGCATCCCAAATGCTAACCATCTCATACCGTGCAGCTTGGTCATGGTTATGATCATCTTGTGGGTCTTGCGACAACCTTTCAAGCCCTCTGGGTAGCTCTAACATCCGTTTAGTGAACTGGACAACTCCACCGTAGGAACTTATCGCAACTTCGCAACCTCTGACTTCAAACATCTTTCTGTGCTGGCCACTCTCAACACGGCCGCCAGCATCATTACCGCAGTAAGTAAACCGCCGATAGCCAAAGTGTCGGACGTCTTGGGGCGGGCCGAGGCATACATCTTTACCATCACATGCTACATTCTATCATACATCCTCTGTGCATCGTCCAAGACGTTCAGCATCTATGCGGGTGGCTACGTATTCTATTCCGTTGGCCAGGCCGGCACGGCCATCCTCAACTCCACCGTCGTGTCCGACATCTCGTCCATGCGCTGGCGAGGCTTTGTCTACAACATCCTGTACATCCCCTTCCTGATCACGCCGTGGGTGTCGGCATTCATCGTCGACAGCGTCGTCAATGGCATTGGCTGGCGCTGGGGCATCGGCATGTTCGCCATCCTGATGCCCTTCTGCGCCAGTTTCATCATCGTCACCCTCCTCGTTTTCGAACGACGCGCCAAGCGGTCTGGCCTCATCCTGACGGAGAAACTGAATCTCTTCACCTTCTGTTCGCGGATCGATCTGGGCGGCATCAGCCTTTTGAGTGGCGGATTTGCGCTCGTCCTGATCCCCATTACGCTGGCCGCAACCACATCCGATTGCTGGAAGACACCGTGGGTCGACGCCCTGATTGTGCTGGGCGGCATCGCGCTGGCCTGTCTGTATCCGTACGAGAAGTACTTCGCCCGCCACCCGGTCGTCCCCACCCACTACTTCCGTACCTTGTCCGTGGGGGTCTCCATGGCCTTGGCCTGCGTGGACAACATTGGGTTCGGAACCACCCAGACCTACCTGTACGTCTGGTCCATGGTGTCCCACAACTTTTCGCCCCGCGACGCCCAGTTTCTCAACTACACCAACAGCGTCATGCAGGCGCTGGTGGGGATGGGCACCGGGCTGCTCATGTATCGGCTGCGGTCCTACAAATGGATCGGCGTGGTCGGCGCCGCCATCCGCATGGTCGGATACGGAGTCATGGTCCGTCTGCGCACCAACGAGAGCTCCGTCGCCGAACTGTTCATCGTCCAGCTGATCCAGGGTGCCGGCAGCGGGATGATCGAGACCATTGTCATCGTCGCCGCGCAGATCTCCGTGTCGCATGCCGAACTGGCCCAGGTCACGTCGCTCATCCTGCTCGGATCCTTCTTGGGCAATGGCATCGGCTCAGCCATCGCCGGTGCCATTTACTCCAATCAGCTGCGCGACCGCCTGCGTTTGCATCTCGGACACAGTGTCGATGAGGACACCGTCGTTCGCCTGTACAACTCCATTACGGATACACTGCCGAACTGGGGGACGCCGGAGCGAGATGCGGTTAACCGAGCAGTACGTTCACCTATCTTCGTTTGCTGTGTGACTCGAGCTATTCGCTAACTTTCATCCAGTATTCCGATGTCATGGGGTATGTCTCTTGGGGTTGGTTCAATGACGCATGCTGACAGTCGCAGGTACATCACGATCGCCGCACTGGCGCTCTCCGCTCCCGTCGTCATTCTCTCTCTACTGATACCGAATAAGAGGCTCGGGTACGCGCATATCCCTCACTCTGTTTACAATACTTGCTCTAACCGGCCTGCAGCGACGGACACAATCTGGTCCAAGAGAACCAAAGCGACGATTCTGCTTCCTCCGACGAAACCCTGGTGGATGAAAAGACCTGCAGCCGATAATTCTAATGCCGCGACATGTGTGATGCTGATGCTGATGACTATACATTAATGAGTGTACATATGGGACTATATACTTCTTGATACCTAGACTAGGAACATTACTCTCCAGCTTCCGTTTTTTCAAAGACCCCAATTCAAATCTTTCCCGGCGACCCAAGCACACAGAAGAAGTCCCTGTCCGGCGTGCTGTCGAGGGCATTCTTGACTAGGTTCCAGACGTTCAAATCATACGCCTCACCGATGTGACCCACGGGGTCGAGCGGACATTTTCCTTGCACGTAAATATTGTTGGCGCCGTCCACCCACGACGTCTCATGCGGCGTAACCATCTCATCGAACTTCGAGACAATGACCGTCAGGGTGTTGCCCGGCTGCAGGATGGGCTGGCCGTCATTCAATCGCTGCACGGCAGCCCCGTCGGGACCCAGCTCGTCACACGCGGGACAGCCAAACGTGCTCAACACCTCGCCCACCACTTCCCGGGAAACATTTCCGAAGAGGTATGCGAGGTTGTACAGGCCACCGAAATTGGTTCCGTGCGTCGGGGGCGCGATCGCCACAATCTTATCGACGAGGTCCGAGACCCCCTGGAATTTCGGCACATAGAGCGACTGGAATGCGCCCTCGGAATGCCCGACCAGATCGACCTTCTTGGCGCCGGTTTTGTCCGCGACTTCGCGGATGTACGCGGCGATTTCGCCGGACGATTCGCTGATCGAGCGCAGCCCGCCCAGCAGTGGGAAGCCGTCGTAGGCGCCGTAGGTTTGCGCGTAGGTGCAGTAGCCTTGGTTCTGGAGCCAGTATTGCAGGAAATTCAGGTCTTCGTAGTAGGTGGCACCGAGACCGTGGAGCAGGACGACTGGGTTCGGGTGCTCCTCCGTCAGTTCGCAGTTGAAGTCATTGATGCCGAACAATGCCGCCGCAGACGGGGTGAGAAGGGCGGCCAGGGGAAGGAGGGAATGGAACTTCATGGCGGCCAATTATTGTAATCCGATTGTCTTCAAAAGAGTGTGAGTATGCAGGCCAAGTGAAAGTGTATGTACAAACGAAGGAAGTAGAGGTACGATGAATGTCGACAAACGAGGGAAGTTCGGTGAATCGCGATCCAGTCAAGGTACCAATGTCGCCTTTTAAATCAAAAAAGGAAAAAAGCAAAGCACCACGGAAAAGTGCACCGACCAGCATTCCTCAGCTAGAGTGGGCCTCGCATTGTGAAAAACAACAAAATAGATTATGGATCCGATTAGGAGAATAGCGATCGGCTTCAGGAACCACACAAATCCATTCGTTAGGGTGGAGTCTGCGATCCAAACTCAGCACTACCGCTTAGGGCCGCCGCTATTCCACACTATTGGAAAATTTTTGACCAGTTCCTTGCATGGCATTGGCTCGAGCGAGCCTCGGCCGGGAGCCTAGAAGTAAGACAGGTTACAGTGCATTTCCTGTCAGGTGTCATGGCTGGTCTCCGTTTGTCTGGTGAGGTTGAGGTAATTGAGGTTGAACTTACAAACGTCTCAAGGCGGGAATTCAAGGCAGTTGGATGACAGTCACGTTCCAGTCATCTGTCTTTGGCTCTCCAGGCGGGATATATATTGCTCCATCCATCTTTCCTCTACTTACGCTTCTAGTCTTCATCAAGACTCTTCGCTGTATTCAATAGCTAGCTTTTCTACCCTTCCTGTTACGATGGCTACCTGGTTTTGGCTGTCTTCGAATTCTTTCATACACATTCACCTTACAGCTCCTGAGAACTACACATTGCCCAACCAAAACAGGAACACTACATGCTTCCCCCTCAATTCCCCGGTAATGCTCTGCATTTTCCTTTGACTAGACCCTCAACGTGAAAGGCAAATGCTGGAACAACATGACATAAACTGCCTTAGCATGCACCAGAGACCGATTACTGCCAGGGCAGCAACTGCACCGACTGAACGGAGTCCAATGTCCTCATCAACTTCTCAGCTGGCGGTGATATCACCTTAAAACAAGAGACCCGGATCCACAGCCATCGCCGATCAAGCAACAAAACCCTCACCTAGCTAGGTTGCTTGAGCTACTGCACCTTATTCGCGACACTCGATCCTTCGGTATACATATCCTGTCTCCTACACGTGCAGTTAGATAGTCATACTGGCTATCTATACTCGCTGTCTCGTGCTGTATATATTTTCTTATTATTAAGCTTAAGCAACCCATCCTTTGAAACCAAGATTCCAATTTTCACATCCTACATACCCACGGCTATCCACGATCGCAGTACGCCACTCGATATTCTACCGTGGCAATTGTGATGATGAAAAGGACAGGTATGAAGACCGTGATTGACCAAGTCTATGAGCCTTGAGCATCTATGTCTCCGGTATACTTGATACAACATCCAAGATGAACGCCCCTTCCGCGGAGGTACTTAGTGGCACAAGTTATCCCGCTGATCCAGATCAAACATTAGCCTCGAGCATCTTTCCTCGGTCCATAAATGATCATTCGTGCAGACGGAAGATAGGTATGAAGTGTTACTTGTCCAGCGAAATACAGCATGCTAGCTTTCTTTCTTAGCAAGGAATGACACGAACAATAGTATCCACTATTCTTTTCATGAAGCAAACATGCCGGATTCTAGACATTGCCTAACCATTGTCCTCTGCACTTTTGTTTATCCGATCCACGTCGGTCCTGCTATCGCTACCGGAATTGGTGACGGCCCAAGCGATGGCGGCAACGGTGATACACCCATGGGCGACAGTTCTGAACCTCCCACTTGGCAGGATACCACTGAGATCTGGACCTGAGCCGAGACCATGCAACAGACCCCTGAGCTCAACTAGGAGCTTAAAACTGTTACAAATCAGCAGTTCTATCCTCGGGCATGAGATAATTCAACAAGATCCCTGGAGCCTAGTCGCAATGCAAGGTCATGGGCCAGTTGTCTATCTTCCTGGCTCCTTAAGATGCTACAGCTTAACCCGACGTCTTCGCCCTTGGTCATGTACAATGACAAGAGGAATGGCTTACTCAGTCGCGATCACCAAATTTCCTTCACCTTTGCCCTACCTGTCACGAGAGCCATGTACAGGGTATATCTTGCCGCTGACGCTTCACGGACCTACTGTGATGCCGGTCCTTGATGATTAATGTACGCCAAACCCCGATATGTATAGTACTTTTGAGAGTACTTTGCCTAGCGAAACTTTCAAGCATCCAGCCCAGTATGAGGTTTGAACGAGAGGCAGCGCAAGGCGCGTAACACACTCCAAGCCATTTCCGGTCCCATTTGACTGCGCCATGGTCTCCCCAGAACTGGGAAAACATTCAGGCTACTGCAGGTCCTTCCCCATTCATCCTGTACTCGAACTGAGAGGTGGACGCCCTTTATCAGATACTGATCACTGCTCTCTCAGTGTCGTCAATAAAACTACCTAGCATATGATAGGCTTGTGAGAACCCACACAATTTGGGAGATCATGGTCGTACAATGCCACACAATCCAAACGGAGACGGACATCGCATGGGAATTGGCTGCGCAAGAGCGGCCCCGTCAGGATAGGCCAATAACACCCGAAATACGTCCCCGGCGTCCCTTGAGGCAACTCCCTCCGCCGAAGACGACCACACCCTTAATACACTAACATTTACCGACACGGTATTCGATTTCCCCGAGATACCCAAGTCTTCAAAGACTCTCTGGTCGATGACCTTGCACGATACAAGTACAATATTTACCTTGGTGACAATGAGCTTTCGAGTGACGATAATCTTGAACGAGGGGCCGCCTTTATTACCCAATGTTTATTGAAGGGGGGAGTCCCCATCTGCATTTTCGATCTCAGCATATGCGATCTCCGAGGATGTCTATTGTGACTTCAGCTTCGTATATCCTGCCTACAATCCTTCGGCTGGTGAGTGAAGATGCCATCTCGCACTGATGCCCGAAAGTGAACGGAATAAATCTGGCATTGCCGGCCAAATCTAGACAAATAGGCCCCTTTGCATCCACCTTAGCATTTTGGATGGTACAGTCATGGACAGTATGTCACTATTCAACACCTAAAGTTGACAACCAATAACGACATACAATTCAAGAGGGTTTCCGCCGACCAACCAAGGAGGCATGAACAGGGTGGAGTTCAAGCGAACGTGACAACCCACTTACATCCACATCGCCCATCCCACAAGGCGTCCTCTAGGGTCGAATAGCTCAGTCCGTAGGTTTTGGCTCCGGAGGTACAGTGGACCCAGGTACTGATCACTGCCTCAGCCAACAATGTCGTCAATGATATTGCCCAGCTGATGGACAACCTTACGAGAAGCGAGATCAAGCGAGATGTCATCGTGGTGTGGTGTCATGCAATTCACACCGAAATGGATATTGTGTGGGACTCAACTGCTCCAGGCGCCCCCGCCAGGGTCGGCCAGATATCATCCAGCGTGAAACGGCTGAAGAGGCATTGCCAACCGACGAAGCCATGCCCGCAGAGGAGCTTACATCCCCTTAACACTTTCCCCGCCCATAACACCGCTCAAGTAAGGGTCATTGGAAGGGACTTCCCAATTTCTGCCTCCTATAGTAATCCTCCCTAGAGGTCCAATCGCAAGACCTAGGGCGACTTGAACACCCTTCTTCCGGAACTCGCCGCCCATATACCAGGCTCGGTCATAGACAAGGGATTTATTCCAGCTCGCACCAACGTGAATCCCACTGGGATAGTTATCCACGAAGTCAGTATACCGGACTCCATTTCCTGCATCCTGAAAACACAATCCAGGGAATCCCAGACGAGGGATTTCGGCAATAACCAAGGGACCTTTGCTAAAGCATCAACAACTCTCTCAAACGGGCCCATGTACCATCTATGACGTCTCAAAGACTCTCGTGGACGGATTAACTCCTATGGAACACGGTTCCCTTCTAAACACCCCACTCTAGTATTGGCCTCGACAACTAAGCGGGACAATGTGGTTGAAGCCTTCGAGGGCCGGCCTGTGGGCGAGTTGTATAACAATACCAAGCGGGCGCCAGGTATTCATATTAGTTCACGGCATTTCGGATATGTCTGAAAGAACGGCTAGACCACATGACGATGCAGGTCTGGTGCTTTCAACCGCCAAACGAGAACTTGGACATCGTCAGTGCAGACCACTAAGTAGCCGGCTTTTATCAAGATCCGATGTCACCTGTAGGCGACTCCTATTTCGCTTTCCCTCTTTAGAACATAGGCGAGCAGTATATCTGCCCTCGATCACCCGATTATCACCCCAGACGCGAGATGCACAGGGAGGATAGAAGCGAAACCACCTGCTTCTGGCACATCGACGTGGCTAGTATTGGAACAGCTATTGAGCTGATTGAGTCATGGCTTCGTCTTATGGTCTCTGAGGTTCGGAAAAGTACGGCATATTGTCTGAAATGAAATCCTAATCCGAGGCGAGGCGTCTCTTATCCGACAGCTCGGGCCCGCCCACAACGGACATTATCAGCTGTATGATATTTAGAGGCTTTGGTGTTTGAATTGTTATTCACTGTGCTACCATGCAATATAGCATTATTAATCAGTGCCTTTATGGTACTTCTTCGACAGTTTTCAAAGGAATTGGTGCATTTCAACATTGGTTCAGTTGATCGCCTTGTGGCTGTTCTATGGATTGTTTTTAGCCGGTTTGTGTGTTTGTGTGTGGAAGAGAGGGAGAGGGGGGTTAAAAATCTCCCAAGAGTGATATTTAAGGTTAACTGTCATTACGAAACATTGTCCAGGCAGGTTGGATCTCGTTATTCCCTCAAGTCGCTTGGTTTGGTCAATGGTGAAAATATCGGGTATAAATTAAGTCGTCAGTATCCGAAAGAGCGGCATGGTTATTGTACAAATGGATTATCCTTCTCGTTAGAATCGTCAAGGATTGTGCCCCTCCGACCCTGGTCAGGAAACCTTGCTCGCGCAGGAAAAATTAACAATGACTTTTAAGTAAGGTTCATATCGCTCATAAGTTCGTTCCGGGAAAACATTAGCTTTCGTGCCTGCGATCGCCAACGTATTCATCCTAGTTCTATACAAGAGCCCCCGCTCAAGCTTTCGGCGGTGATCCGGCCCGAGGGGATAGCTCTGACATGCCACTTCCCCAGAGTCCAAGCGAATGGCGCTTTTCGACCAGTTTCAATACGTCGTAGATGAATCGTCGTTCAGGTCCGCCGTCGGGGAATACCTCCCAGGCCACGCGCACGGGGAAAGCGAGCCGGTTGATCATGTTGCCCGGCGCCGTTAAGATGTACCATTCGAGAGTTCGGCAGATGCCGCAGCCCAGAGCATATTGCTGCGCCGGCCCCACTCGTTCGTCGTCCGGTCGGGTGTCGACCGTTGATAGAATGAGCCGTGAGGTGTAATATAGACACATGGTTTGAGCGAGACGTAGATTGGGGTAGACAAATTTGGTCGGGGTGATGACGGCACCGGTACGGAGATCGCGACAGCGAAAGAGGGGAACTGATCGTTGGGTTCCGCGGGCACCTCCTGGGGCGGCCCGTCCGGATAGGCATCGACCCAGTCGGTTTTCCACTGGAGGAACCGGCATGTGAGGTTGGTAACCCCATTCCACAGTGCTGCCTGTTTCACGGTGACCTCATGCGCACTGGGGACCCCGGACTGTAGCGTGGCCTCCAAGCGTCGTATTGCGCCAACAGGGATGGCACCTCGACCGTGAGATCTAACAGGTAGTGCAGGATATCTTTCTGCGTCGTTCCAGCCGACCAGGGTACATTGATCCAATCCTCCTCTGCGAGAAATGAAGGCTGACGGGTGACGAGGGCCGCCCCCACCTGGGACGCATTAGTCCACGGCTCAACATGGCCTATACTTCGCCAAACCAACTTACCCAATACGGACGTAATTCGGTGAAGAGGAGGTGTTCCACTCCGTAAATATGATTTTCAGGTCCGCGGTGTTCGATTAAACGCACAGCACCATGCACATGCGCTGACAGTGATGCTTGCGTGGTTCGTTCAACACTCTAAAATTGACCGATAAGTAATAAAAACCGTACAATGAAGAGCGAGATTGGTACCTCAAAGGCCATCAAAAGGATGACCGTGGCCAGAGTGGATTCAGCCTTGCTCCGCTCTGGGTCCTGCAAGGCACTCTGTAGATTCCGCAGGACACGTCCATACAGCGGAGAGCCTGACTTTTCAATTCGCGGGTCCTGAACGGACCGACCAAAGAAGGCTACCGAGACCGCTTCATATGCCTCCATTAGGATCGGCGAGAACATGCGGATTTCCGCTGCGCGTCGCAGCGCTCCCGCCTGACCCGACTTGATATCAACTTCCGGGCTAAAAGCATCAATAAATCGCTCAATGAACACATCCAGCATCGGGCTGGACGAGTTGTTTATGCTAATGATCGATGAGGACGATGAATCCTCACTGCTTTCCGATGGGCTGCGGCTGAAATCGAAAGTTTCTGACCGGTGTGAGGCATGGTAATCGGTATTTCTGCTGCTATCGTCACTGCTCTCATCCGGGGAGCGTTGGTGGAGAAAGGCTACATGGGCCCAACCGAGTTAGCCTGCCCTGCACGGTATTGGACTGGCGCACACGCCATCTCACACCCACCTTCTGTTCCTTCGAGCTCATTCGATCCGCTGGGGCCAGTACGGAGTTGAGTAATTAGTCGATCGACAAGCTCCAGCGGGGCCGAGCGTATGGTCGCAAACAACTTTTGTAGCTGGGTCTTACGTCGCTCCGATCGGTGCCGGCGCTCTGGAGTACGACCCAATGCCAAGTCAGAGAGCCATGGTCCCATGATCGTGATCTGTCATGCGAGAGTGGGACACCTACCACCGTTGTTCAAGCGGGCCGTTAAGTCGCGGATCTCCGCCCGTAGATGTCGGATCTCGTCTGCTTGACTGATGGGCTGGGGATCCTCGTCCGTGCCCGGTTCATACACGCACTTGGAGGGATAGCCATGGGCGCAACATGCATGACAGGGTTTGACGCGGTCACACTATCGTGGATCGTCAGTTTCACAACGCGTCGCGGGGCGCCCGCCGGGGCAGGGTTGGTTGTTTGCGAGCCGATAAGGGAAATGAAACATGATTATGAAATTATTATATTTCATTTTCATTATAATTAATTGGTATGGGATTGGCCCACGGTGCTAAAATGAAGCTCAGACCACGATCGGTTCGGGACGTACCTTGACCTTGCGCAGTCGACACACCCTACAGGAGCGAACCTGACGAGGGGTTAGAGAGGGTACGACCGCGGTTCTCTTCTCCCGAGGTAGTTCGGACACGAGCAACGCTCGAGAATCATGGGTAATCATGGGAAGAATATGGGGAGGGTCCGATGGTCGCGTCGCGATCCCAGAGTCAGTCGGAGGAATGGGAAGGTCGGGTTCACCATGGGTTGGAGCCAACGGTACGGCAGGATCGAAGCGAGCGAGATCAGGACGAACATGTCCGAGAGATTCCCTGCTTCGCTTACAGCAGCGTTGATCGCTGGCGGCCAATAACGGAACGGCATGAGCGGCGCCGCGTCAACGGCGTCATGACGATGTGGGTTCAACGGTGCGACAACTCATCCATCCAACATGTGGTCCTTTTACCCCTGTCAAATGATTCATGTTCCAGAACCGTTGGATCCAGGACCACCCAGCTTGCGATTTGCTGTCAATGTTTTGCTGTCAAGGGCTCAACAGAGTTTGTGCGAGCCTCGAATTCTGTTTTTGTTGTTTATTTGCGGTTTGTCTCCGCCTGTGGGCCCCGTGACCGAGATGACCTTCCACATCGGGTAAGCGCCTCTTCCCTTTCCAGCTGGCACGGGTGGGTCACACGTGACATTCTGGTGCCTGAGGAATTCAAGGTGGGCTACCTTTGGAGGTGACCGACCCACATATAGAGCATATAATGTCTCTCCTTCCCAGTTGACTTTTACTTCGGTCAATTCTATCGGCAAGGCCAATTATGGGCCTTGTACTTGACTCGTCATCAGGCCAAGCCTGAATTTTCTCCACCGCAGTCACCCAGCACCAATGGCGAATGGTTTAAGTTTGGAGACTTCCGACGCCCAGTATAACGGACAGTGACCCTGACACTGTGAACTGTGTATGATGAGATTAAACGTGAAACTCTTCATATGGGATATCAAGGAGTGTTCGTGTCACTTTTACAGTCTTGTTTTAACCGTAGTCTATTTGAAAGGCGAAGTGATATACTGGCACCGGGGTTTAATACTGATTACTACAAGATTATACAAACCCCCAACGGTCATATGTTTCATGCAGATATATACTTAAGATCTGTACGTCAAATTGGCATAAATGGTCACCGCTCCAGCCTACAAGAAGTAAATGAGTGTGTCTCCTGCGCTATGTAGGAAGTAGATATTAACCAAGTTGATCGGTCGGAGAAATACTGGACTGGTCTATCCTTGTATGTGCTGAAGGATATAGCCAACGTCTGCTTCGTGCGATACCTCCTTCCATTGGTTTTTAAGGTAGTCGCTTGACCGACAATCGTATCCCTGTCTACGGTATAGGTGACTTTAAACAGTGCAATGTAAGGTCCACAAGTTCTGCGAGAGTAAATTTTTTCTAAGAAAAAAAAAATAAAATCGTAGGTCCTGGTTACGCTACTCCTTACCTCTCGGTGTCAAGGTCTTGGCATTCGACCAGCGAGGATTGAATACAGTACATTGGTGCAGACCTCGAAGGCACCGTTATGTACAGCAGTGAGTTATACGGATTGACGAGAGGACTTGCTTGAGGTCCTCGGCAGGTCGATGACTCATGATAATGTGATCTGGCTGAAACCCCGCTTCTGTAAATGCGACGCTATTCCAGGCCACCCTCTCTCCTGTACTCCTCCAAAGATCCACAAGGCCTGGAAGTCTGAATCCGCTCGATTTCTCAGCTAGAATGTCCAAGTATGGCACCAAATTCGGCCGCGAACGTCGTAGAAGTTGTTGCTCGTCCGACTACCGGGGTGGGGCTCCCACATGAGTCTCCCAAGCTCTTGTCTTGGAAGTGGACCGTTGGTGAGCGATGGTGGCACCGTTCAAAGTACCACCCTACCTACCCAACTGGCCGCGCAAATATACTAACGGGGTCTTAGTTACACGGGTGCTCTCCTTTGCAACACCGCCGCCTTCATCCTCCCAGCCCTCTACAGTACGCTTGTCAAGATCTGGGTCGCGAATATTGACGCCTCCTTCGTTGTTACAACGGACGTCTACACTTACATCGGCACAGTCGCAGAGGTCCTGAACGAGGGGCTGCCGCGCGCGGTATGGGTCACCATTGCAGATAAGGAAGCACGATCCTTAGAGTCGCGCCTGGGCCTAGCACATACCTTGGTGATATTCCAAGCATTCCTTGGACTGATTCTCAGCATCGTGTTCGCAGCTGCTGCTCGAGAATTCTCATCAGCGTTCGTCCCGCATGAAGTGCGCGAAGCAAGTATAGCATATGTGCGCATCAGCGCCTTCTCAGCCTTCAGCTCTGCGATCGAAATCAGTATTTCGAATGCAACCCGCGCCCTCGATAAGCCAGATGTTCCGTTAGTGATCAGTTCTATCAAGGTTGCTGTCAATATCATTTTGGACTTTCTGATTATATCCAAATTTCATGTGGGCGGCTGGACGCCGGATCTCAATATGCAGGCTGGAATCCGCCTGACCTGTGATATGGTCGCGGCTGTTTCTGGTCTTCTGTATTTTTTCATCACTACCAGTCTCAAGCGAAATGGCCGTCGATTGTGCTGGAGGAGCGAGGTACCGAACGTGCATGCGTTCTTGGTGCTCCTCAAACCTGGGGCTATCACATTCATTGAATCCGCAATCCGCAATGCCTTATATCTTTGGCTTGTTGCTGGGGTAGTCGCCATGTCCGCGGACTATGCGACGGCATGGGGGGTGTTTACAACAATCCGGTGGGGTCTAATAATGGTACCAGTTCAGGCCTTGGAGGCGACTACTCTCACCTTTGTGGGCCATTCTTGGGGAGAGTTGAAGCAAAGAGCCGACACTGAACGTTGGTCATGGATGAGCCTTTTCGGTACTGTACTCTAGCTTTGTGTCTTTGAGGACTGGACAGGAGCGCTCATCCTCTACAGTGGTCACTCGACCAGCAGTTCTCTCGGTTATGATAGTTCTCGCAGTCGAAATACCCTTACTTATCTTTATGTCGCTGTACGGCTGCGAATCTTTCGCTTTCTGGCTGAGCCAATCAGAGCCTGTGTCAAATATCGTCGCGCATATGTGGCGCACCATCGACTGGTACGTCCTCACTCTACTTTGAATCTACCCGATACCTGCCATCAAGGTCGCTAAGAAGATCAGGTGCTACATCCTATATGCGATATCAACCCAACTCGCCGCCATTCTGCTAGCCACCCAGACCCCCTGGTACCTCGCGCAGTCCCTATTTTCTAACATCTTCTACGTTCTCCCCTGGGCAATCGTGTGCCAAGTAGTTCATCTAGATTCCGACAACGCGTGGACATACCACAGTCTGGTCTTTGGGGGCAGCTTGGTGTTCTCGTTTGTTGATATTTTGATCTTTGACATAGGTTGGGCGTGGAGGTTCACCAGGGGGAAGCTGGATGTTAATGCCGTTTGACTCTGGGGTCAGCTTCTTAGATTTTCGAACGACTTATTTTTATCCATTGACTGTTCCTTTGATGCATCCCGCTTACAGCACTTTGGGGATAATTAGGAGTGATAGGGATGGCTGAGCAGAGCATAGGATGTCGCATTGAGTGCAGATTGAAATTGCCGACCAAGAACCGTGCCAATTAAGATTGAGGCCAGCTTGGTCACTGTGCTGGCTTAATACGGCCACCATTGAGAAAAGTAAACTCATGCAGTGGGGACGTGGTCGATAGACAAGCGTCTGATCGTAAGAGTCTCTATAGGCAGGTCCATGTCTAAGGCATGGAAAAGGGTACGCCATGCCTCTTTTACACCTATCAGTAGCATACTATCTGGGAAGAAAAGGAAAGAAAGAGTATGAAATAGTTCAATAACTCCGGTATAATTATTTTCCCTTACTTAGACAAGCACAAATGATTTACTGGGGCGAATAGTAGGTGCTATTACCCTTGTCTTGCCCTAACCAGACACTCCGCACAACGGGATATAGACCATACTTGGTATAGTCCTTAATTGAAAGCGGTATGTAACATTCTACACAGAATCCGCCAAAACTCCGGTGCTCACCAGAACACGCTCCCCGACGACCGCATCGCAACTGCAGCCACTACAACACCCACCACACTTCCAATCCCTGCCCATCGCATCAACCCCTGTTGGATATGGTACTTCCCCGTCCGTGCAATCGCCTCCGAATCGTTAATCCGAGGAAAGGGCACATCGGCCGGCACCTCGACGCCCAGCGCCTCACACAACGGCGCCCACCCATCGCCAACGTGGAAAAACACCAACCGATCCTCGGGAACCACCTGCTTCAACCACTCAATATGCAACTCATACGTCTGACGATCCGGCCTCGACGCCGCATACAACCGTACCCACTGCGCACCTATCAAGTGGATATACTCGACAAAATGCCGCATCCCCGGCACCGGAAGCAGAATGACCCGCAGAAACCACAACGTCGCCATACTTCTCACCTGGTCGATGCTTTTCGCCCACGCGTCCGGGTCGCGCACGGTGCAGATGACCTTGGCGTCGGGATACAGCTCCAGCAGCTCGGGGACCAGTTGCGCGCCCGGCGAGTCGGTGATTGCGGCGTATCCGTCCAGTCGCTGTTCCAGGAGCTGGAGGGTGAGCTGGCGGTCTTGGGGGTTGGGGCTGAGCCAGTGACGCAGGATTCGGATCCAGGATTGGATCTCAATGGGCGGTCCCATGGTGGTTTGCGTGCCGGCGTGGTAGATGGGCCCTTGGAGCAGGATGTTTAATGCGGCGCTGAATGACGCCGTACCCGTGCGTGGGAGTCCTGCTCCGATGACCTGGATTTTGGTCCCTGGATAGGGGGTTGAGGGTTGCTGGCCCATCTTTTGGAGGTTGGGTAAACGGTGGGAGTGTTTTCTTTGTCTAGATTCAAAGAAAGGAGGATTTGTACACCCACGCGGCAGGATCACCACTCAATATCCACGGTGTGCGGTGTGGAAGACATTCAGCAAACGGGGATGAGGAGGGAAAATATGGAAGGGGATATCTCCCAGTTGAAAGACCCTGACAACCCCTGGATCAAAGAAGTAGACGCACAGGCAATCGCCATGGTGCAACATAGCCTCGCCAGTCAACTTGGGATGCAGACTAAATGCTTGGCTTCTTTCCGACCCACTTTAGGTATCGATTGATGCGATGGAGCCAATCATCTGCTCAAATCTTCATCAAAACAGACATCGCGCTAAGAGTAAATAAGGTTGGTGCGTTGTGAGATATCTCAGATGCCTAGCCCAAGGCTAGACTGGAGGACATATCGACTCTTGACTACGATGACCGTCGACTAATTCATAACTAATTTTGCAGAATCAGTTCACCATAACAAAAATAACTACACTTCATACGCATCTTTCAATGAAGCCCACGAATTCAACTCAATCAGTTCTATTCACATGAAGCGCATCAGCTCATCGCTCGTCTAGCACTTGGTATATCTATCATAAACAAAAGGCAAACACCAGAAATGCAGCGATCTATCGGCCACCCTGGTCTAATCCAGCAAAATTATGTTCGGGGAATATAAAGAACAACAAACAATCAGGTATTATAGGGACAATTAGAGAAGGAAAGGGGATGGTGTTTCACCCCACCCACAATAGTGGCCCGGCCACATTACTCTGCCTGCTTCGAGGCCTTGGTACGCAGCTTCATGAGAGCGTACACAAGGGCATACGAGCTGAGGGCGAACAGAGCAACAATAGCCGCATCGCGCCATCCGTAGTAGTAATCCTTCAAGTTGACGCTGAGAAGATAATCGCTACCCCGGGTATATTGACACACGCGGCAACCGGATGTCGCGTCCGCATCGAGGAGATTCATGCGGGCGCCCATGCCCTGCATAAACTCGGTGAGGTACTCGCCGCACGTGGTGCCATTCGGGGGATCGAACAGGGCGTACTCGGAGTCCTTGCATTTCACCTCCACGTCAAAGATGGTGAATGTCATCATGCTACCCATAAGATAGTTGAATGGGTTCATCCAGTAGATCCAGTACCGCCAGAAGGCCTGGATCTGTTGGTAGGGAACCATGACACCACAGAAAGAGGCGAGGGTTCCAATGATCACTGGGTTAATAAGGGAGGCAAAAATCGCGTTCGGCGCGTAGGCGGAGATGAATTGACCGATTCCGGTGTAGACGAACTCGTACATCAACATAACGAAGAAAACAGCACCGGACTTATTGGAGTCGGTGGGGAAGCCAACCGTGTAGTACCAACACGCGAAGTAAAAGACGGCGCAGAGGCAGAGGTAGGGGATTTCCGATACAATCAGAGCGGTCACGAAGGCAACCCACGAGTACATCTTTGACTTCTTCTCACGGGCGTCATAGATATCTCGACGTTCAAGGAACAGGGGCTGAAGTTGATTGATGACACCGGGGGCAACGAAGATAAAGTTGAAAATGGTGAAGAGACGGAGCTGCATAGAGTGGACTGAATCGTTGATCATCCAAAAAGAGAAGCCGTTAAACAACGCAGATCCAATATGAAGGGCCATTTTATTGTTGACATAATCGGTATTCCGGTACAATGCCACACACATACGCTGGCTCACCAACATGATCTGTGTCGCAAGGCTCGTGGCGAATTCTCGGCCGTCATCAAACGTACCAGGGGGCTTTGATGCAGCGTCACTAACGATTCGGTCAAGCTCCTGGATGGAACGCTGGTTCTCTGGAGACTCCAGCCAGACCTTATTCCAATCACGACCCTGAGAGAGGGTACCAGAGACGACATCGATCATATGCTCAGCAGGGTTCACATTAGGTGGGCACGCAGCACCATAACGGCCGAAATAGTCCTTGACGGTCTGGCCATTGTCACCAATGTCACCGAAGTAGACCATTTTTCCACCTCTAGCCAAAAGAAGCAGGGTATCGAATTCGGCAAACAGCTGAGCGGAAGGTTGATGAATAGTAACTAGAACAGCCTGGCCAACATCAGCCAGTTTGCGTAGGAAACGGACAGTGTTGTATGCAGATTGACCATCAAGACCTGACGTCGGCTCGTCCAGGAAGATCAGAATGCTCGGCTTTGAGACCAGTTCCACACCAATGGTGACACGCTTACGCTGCTCCACGCTCAATCCGGCACCAACACGGCCGATCAGCGTGTCAGCGATATCATGCAATTCCAGAAGCTCGATGATGGTATCCACATATTTCAGTTTCTCATCATCAGGAACATCACGTGGCTGACGGAGCAAGGCAGAGAACTCGAGAGCTTCACGCACGGTTGCAAACGGTTCATGGACATCAAGCTGTTCACAATAGCCTGCAGAGCGCTGGAAAGAAACTGGCAAGGGTCGTCCGTCAACCATAATGGAACCATGGATGGTTCCTTCAGTCTTTCGCTGAGCCAATACATCAAGCAGAGTGGTCTTTCCAGCGCCAGAGGAACCCATCAGGGCACCCAGCATGCCAGGCTTGACCCAACCGTAGACATTATCAAGGAGCACACGGTCACCAGTGGGTGTTTTCACGGTATATGTCAAATTTTTCCAGGTGAAGACGGACGTGTTGCGGACCAGTTGGTTGTCAAGATCATCACCCTCCTGAGAGCTGCCATCGTTACGCTTCTTCTCTTTCTCGTTTACCTGGGACTCTTCATCGAAGCGGGCAATCTGGTTGTGCTTATCCAACCTCTCGCGTGGAATCAAAAGCGTATTTCCACTTTCTGAAGCAGCCTTCCACCGGGAAGTGGCAAAGATGGTCACGGCCACGAATAAAGCCCACCAGGCCCATAGGATACCGAAGTTACGCCAGACATGGTTGTGGCTGTAGGACAGTGAAGCCAGGTACTGGTCACCGGTCACATAGTTGTTGCCTTGTATAGCGCCACCAACACCAGCACAGGATTGATGATCGGGGACATTTTCATACCCAGGACCAGAAGGAATGAGGTTGGTGGCCACGCAAGGAATGATCTTGCCGTGGAACTCGCTCGAAAGGAGGGCATCAAACCCGTATGCAAGGGGATTAATCCAGTAGATCCAGCCAAACCAGGGATGCATCTGCGGCTTCGTGATCATATAGCCTGTGTACATGATCAGGGCAGAAATGAGGAAACCGGAAACCTTGGACGCGCCATCGAATGTCGTGAAGAGTGCGCCAACCGCACGGAACAATGCGGTCATAACCTATATAGTGCAATTCCGTTAGCCCAATGCTGCACTTCAAACTTTGATGATCAGATTGCATGCGGGTGCCCTTACCATTGTCACAGCAAAAACCAAGATCCAATAAGTGAAGAAACCAGACGCACTCATTGTGAGGCCCACCATGAAATAGACCACAAGGGAAAATATGCTGATCTGGAACAGGAGGACCGGGATATCGGCAGTGATCTGAGCGATACAAAAAGCAGCGGGGTGGAAGAAAGCGAAACCTTTATGTTTGACCAAAACCGGCCGACCACTGAATGAGTCGGTCACTTCAGACATGGACAGCAAACTATTATAAAGCAACGAAAAGAAAAGAGCACCAGATTTGACAAATAGACCTCCCGAGTTGTTGGGCGCATTGTAAAACAGGGATCCTGCAATCAAGGCCTGGGCTAATGTCGACACCTGTTTGATGATAAAAGTGGCTTTATCACCCCAAAGGATCTGGTACTGACGAGCGATACACGCCTTAACTTGCTGCACAAAATCGACCGTCATCGGGCTGCCCTTCGGCAGCTTCTTGCTCCTGTCGTGCGAGATTGCCATCTCGAAGTTCTCGGTGCGTTCCCGGGCGAGATCGGAGTCGGGGTAGTCGTATTCTGCCATCATTTGAGTACGGAGGGGAGACTTCTCATACTCCGTCAAGAGCATATCGGCATTTCGAGGGAATCGGTTCTCATATCCAGGCCGGATCTTGCGTTCCGTGGGAACAGTCACACCCGTCAGGAAGTCCGCTACGTTAGACCCCTCGCGGCAGACGAAACCCAGGTCCTCCATGAAGGGCCTTGCCTGAGACATAGGCCCGTAGTAAACCTGCTTGCCTTCATCCAAGACCAGTACCTTATCGAACAAGTCATAGATTCCATTGCCCGCCTGGTAAAGCGTGACAATAGTCGACAGGCCCATAACATCTGTCAAGGCTCGGATGGCTTTGGCCCATTCGAGAGCAGTGCTGGCGTCTAAACCACGTGTACTGTTATCCCAGCAGAATACTGACCCACGAGAGGCCATACATTCTATGATCGAGACACGTTTGCGTTCACCACCGGAAACACCTCGAACATACTCGTTACCGACCTTCGTATCGTTTGTGTGCGAGATTCCCATGGCTTCCAGCAAGAACTTTTTCATTTCCAGGCGATACGCTTCCGCCGACTCGACGCCTTTGGGCAGATTGAAAGGAATCTTGAGCCGGGTTGCGAAGTCCATTGTCTGACCAACTGTTAGGGTGGGGAAGAACAGTTCTTCTTCCGTATTCATGACAATTTGGCCACAATAACGATCGGCTTCTTTATGAGTGAGCGAGCCAAAGCGGACGTCACCCTCCACCGATTTATACCCGAGTCGTCGATTCGCGAGCATCTTGAGTAGTGTCGTGCAACCTGAGCCTGGCCGACCTAATACGAGAAGCATCTCCCCCGGTTTCACGCAGCCATGGCTGTTCTGAAGAATCGAGCGGAGTGGCGGTTTGTTACGACCATCTTTGATCTTCTGGGGGATGTTGAACTGGGATAGGAAGTTTTCGTTGACGGCGGCCTCGGAACTAACCACTTCGACGTTGACATTCTTCCAGGTGACGCCGAGTTCACGACCCTTGAAACCAGATGCCACGTCTCGTTCATGTTGCTGTTTGACTTGTGGCATCAGGCTCCAGTCTTCGGCGCGGCTGACGTTGGCAGGGCGGGGGGTAGCGCCGACTCATCACCCATCACCGTAGCTGTGCTGTCGGTATCATCTCTGTTGTCCGAAGGCGGTGCCTTCGGGTAGTAGTCCTGGCCCTCCATGACTTGAGGGAAGCTTAGACCGCAATCAGTCTGGACGAAGCTTTCCGGCGAGGTTGACACCAAGAAAGAAAATCTTCCCTCACGAAGATGGGACGGACAAGGAAGTATATAAGCACATTGCCCTCGGGTGGGTCTGAGGGCTTGAAACCAGACCGGCACCGAGTTCACATCCAAGCGACCCACCAGGCATGCATCGAGGCTCCAGCAAGCTCCATAGTTTATTGGGATTGATTAGGCGACTCATCTTGCTTAGACGTGGCCAGCCAGGTTCTTGTCGCGGAAAAGGAGTGAAAAAAGTCGATATTCCGAGCGGTGGGGCCCGAAGCCAGTGGTTATCTCCGACAGGTTCTGTCTCGTCTCAGCTTAACCAATCAACGGATGAGAATGGGGTAACGTTCAAGCTGACATGGAAGTCCCCTTCCAGAATTTGCGTGTCGAACGGCAAACTCATTTGTCGATCAGGAATCTTAGGGTTGGATAGTTTGGGTTCGGAGTCGGTCCTCAACCGACCGACCGGGGCCAATCTCGTTTTCCCTTCCGATGACTCAGCGGCTGTCGGGGCATCGGCGCCCTTGATTGGCTGGGAGGAGCGTTCAACGTCCGAATGCTTCCGCTGAGTCAGCGGGACTTCCCTCTTTTGGTTTAGCCCGGGGAGCTGTCCGACGCCTTGTCCGCTTCTTTTCCTTCCGATCTGATAATACTAATTAATCTTGATAGTCTCGGCTCTGGCGCAGAAATTTCCTTTTTCTTTGTTTCGGAATTTGCCCCCTGGTCGTCTACTTGATCCTTTCTATTCTGACGTCAGCCCATTGTTAAGCGGCTTTCGCCCATCTTCCTGTTCCTATCTATATTCCGGGCACAGCCATCACAAGCACGACAGACCCTGTAGCGGATGAGCTTATTGAAAGAGGAAATGAAACGCGCTCATTACGCATGAGATGACCAACTTGACAGGTCTACTTCCTGGGAATCCCTTGCGCAAGTACCATGTGGCGTCGGTCTCTGTTCTATGCATCTCAACTATCAACTACGATCTTGCGCAATGAAGATACAACGGTAATGATTCGCTGTCATGGCAAACTCTCAATCTGCTCGATCTACTCCGTCCTCTGTATCATGACTCACCGCCATATCTCACATGTAGACTGAACCCTCCAGTGTCATTCCACCCGCCAAGGCTAATCTTATTGGTAATTTATGTCGTAACAGACCCCATATCTCGTGTTTGGTTTAACACCGACGCTCCGAAGATTCTATTAATACTCGCATTTTTTCCCTTTTTTCCGTTTTTCTTTGTCAGCTAGTGAATTAACTAGTTAGCTACGGAGTAAACTAACGTTACTTAGGGCATTGATGGAGATTCAATGTTCAGGTCGATGTGGGCAGCTTCCGGCGCTATGCTGGATTGGGTTAGTCTTGCGAATGGACACAATCACGACTTCTAGAACGCTGGATCCTTCTTCTACTTGTACTTCTCATGAATAGCATTCCTGCGGAAGCTCGAGGACTTTCTTCATGGATCGCTCCCGGAGTGATCCGGGAGTGATCTGGCACTGACCAGAAAAGTATTCCTCAGCCATACCCAAATAACTAAGAAAGACAAGTAAAAGATGTGTCGCCAAGGCAGCATATGATCCATTTGTTTACTTCTGATCTGGCGAGACATAGTCTAGACCAAACGGAAATATACACTGTTAGGAACACAAAGGACTTGTCTGATGCTTTACTCTACTTATGATGAATCCCTCACACACTCTTGGTATTATTCAATGGCATTACGGTAGACTTTCTATAGATAATTCCTGAGCTACGTACTGCCTTGAAGCTTCTGTAGATGGTCTATTTAGCACTATGATGCTTTTCTCGACACTGATTAACATACAGTGAGTATTATTCAATCGGCTGTCAAAGAGTAAGGATTAGACTCCTTAGAGCATAGTACCATATTAAATCATATGTCAATGGTTTGAATTCTTCGCGAATATACGCACCAACCGTTTTTGGAAACTTACATATTCTCTCCTACATAAGTGTGTATCAGGGTTCGAAACTCCAACTATGTAGCTGTCAAGTGTCTAGCAATCATCTGCTGATATATAAAGAAACGAAAAGAAGTTCTTATAAATAATATATTGGTTTTGGTCATCACAGAGTTGTACGGTTTTCCTTTGGCGCTTTGGATTGCCCTGGCACAGTTGCTGTAGTTTCCCATGTCTCCTGGCTGCGATGGCAGATGTCTGGACCCTTAGGTGCTATCCCCTGCAACACACAGTCTCATAAGTGCCAGGCGGAAGTGGGTCACTGTACAAAATATGTACGGACAGTCACGGCTCATTAACCTTCAGCGCATATGGGATCAGGTGACGGTGGGGGGACACGCGTTGCGCGAATTACCCGGCGAACGGCTGATGACCTTCAGCGCAGCCGTTGTGGAGCTGGATTCTCGGAGTGATGGTCTGGAACAGGCGTAGAGGAAGAAGTGGAAGGAATTCACATAATGTACCCAACTGTAGTGGATCATGAGATGTATTAATTTTCTGTGCCCATTTCTTCCTCCCCCATCTCTCACTTTAAGTCAGTTGACCATCTAAAACCTCCTTTCCGTCGTATCCCAGGATCCCCCAGCAGCTAAAGGATCGGTGCAGGCATGAGACGATAGGGACTAAATTATGGTAGGTGTTGGCGCACAGCCACACAGCCACACCTGTAGAGAGTCCCGTGCCAAAAGGAGGCTCTCTCATATCCTCCCTCCTTGTTTCGCTGCTTCTCCATTCATCAATAAGCAAGTAACCTTAGCTTTTGATGTGGAGCTGCAAAAGGTGGAGATGCTGGATCAACTAAGAGATATTCTTTGTTTTATGCTGGTAGTTGACCCGGTTAAAAGGCCCTCTGCCTTATCTATATTAACGTCAAGAGAGCTTATGGCATTAGAGAAGGTTATAGGCGTATGATAAAGTTGATGCGAAGGATCCTAACACCGTCCAATGAGAAGGCGTTTCGTAAATTATAGAGCAGAGGGCTCAAATAGTCCATGGTAGGAGTATTTGTAGGCAATGTTGTATGGGATCTGCTGGCTCTGCATTTCACCCAAGGTCACACCGGGAGATAGTTGCGGAATTTTGAGCGAATGTCTGTGATGGTCAGACACTGAGGGTGCGCATCGCTTGTAGGATTTGTTAGTCTAACTGCACAAGCTGCCATTAACCTCGAAACTTGAATGTACGGGATGCAGCCTAGAAAGAGCCATCTGGATTACTGGGCAAGAGCCTGTCCGGGACTGCTCCCTGAATGCAGGGGGCCTGGAGATGCATGCAGGGGTACACCTAGGGACCAGGGGTCCGCCTTGACTGGGATAGACTACTAGTAGTGTCTTCCGATGGCAGTTGACCTAAACACGCAAGGGTATGCCGGGACTTGCTGAACCCGCGTCGCCACCATGCCGAACGCCGTTGGATCTGACTAGAAAGCAATCCATGCGTCTATCTATCGTGTTACTTTTATGAGTTCTGCCCCGGTAACCTCTCTTGTGATCGGTTCTATCGTATCTGTATGTCAGCCTCGCTGCTCAGGATAAGATGGACAATATTTTTCGATCCTTGCCCTGCCACGTAAGGGCTAGTTTTGTATTAGATAACCTCTTTGCAGGAGCCGCTCTGACTTAGGGCAACGTTTGAATTGCCGAGAACCATAAAATCCAATTGATCGAAGTCGGCATATACATATGCCTCTATTAATACAATATGAGACATTTGCACATCAAACCACCCAGTTCAGGGTTGTTCAGATCTCCACCCGACTCCAGATCAGGTCAATTACATACAACTCTTCATATCGACGCATCGCATCATAAGAACAAATAAGACCACTGGTAAAGTCCCCTCCCCTCACAGCACAATCTCTCCCTCCCCATGAGGTCTCTCAAATCCCTTCAGATACCCTTCCAAGATCTCCTCCGTGACATAAAATGCCGAGTCGCCATCCTTATCGACCCGCTCATTCCGAGCCTGAACCCTCCGTCGGAGTTCAGCAGCGTCAACATCCAAAAACACCAATACCCATCTCCCTCCCAACCCCTCAATCAATCTCTTCCACTCCTCACGCACCGCGCGGAACGCGAACGAAAAGTCAAGCACCAGATCTACCTGTCCTGCGGTTAAGGCGGTGATCAGTTCGGCCCGTAGGGCTTTTTCGGCTTCGAGCTGGTATTCCTCGCATCGTTCTTTGGGGTAGTCGACGTCGTAGAGGCCGTGGTGGGAATAGACGTAGTAGTCGATGGAGAGACGGTGGAAGGATGGATATGCAGAGACGATGGAGTGAGCCAGTGACGACTTCCCGGAACCTGATAATAGATTAGGTCTGAAGATGTGGAGAGCAAGTCCATGGGGAAAGGGGGTTCTACCTGCGATGCCGCAGGTCATTAGAACTACGGGTCGGGGATCAGCTGCTGTGCGGTGTAGGCGAGGATGAAGTTGTGTATGTGCATGGGCAGTTTTGGGGACTGTGGTGTTGACGGGAGTAGATGCCATGGTTGTGGCATGTAGGAGATTGAGCTATATTCGCTTGGTGCGGATTACGGGGTGTGCGCAGTTCTGTTCTGCACAGGATTCAATGGTTGAAGTGAGTGGTGGTCCTGGTGGATTTAGTTTTCAAGGATAGTTATGGGCTGCATCGTGAGTCATCCAGGGGATTGAACCAGTCGACTTCCAGTTGTCGAGCTTCTCATGACCATACTAGGGTTTGGTGCATGGGGGGGGTTGATGTCATAGATTCAACAATAATGAATTTGAGAGTCATGACTAGTGTAGTGATATAGCCATTCTGTACTGGGTTGTGGTATTTACAGTTCATCGATTGATTGTTGTCCTGGAGTGAGAAATATATTTCACCGCAGGGACATTGATCGAGTCCAGGGGATTAAGGGATGATCAAAGTTTACACAGACATACACATTCTTAGAGACATAAAATAGAAAAAATAGATTAAAACTCAAGCAATCAAAGGAACACAACAACAAAAAAAAACAAAAAAGAAGGAAGAGGAAAGGAAAGAACAAGAGAGGTAGGGAAAAAATCGGAAAAAAAAGATGGAGATGCGGGGAATTGAACCCCGGACCTTTCACATGCTAAGCGAACATTATACCACTAAACCACATCCCCAATTCGATGTTCAGCTTCAGAATCTTTGACATTATAAGCCAACTTAACAACCCAAAGCTGAGACAGAAGTCCATTTTGAGTTCAGAGTGTGATATCCTAAATGGGTTAGACTGACAGTGGCGCAAGTATAAATGTTAACGAAGGACGTTAACTTCCAACGACGAAATTGCATATATTTGCTCAATCTCACATATGAAACAAAGCCGTGCTTTGCCAGCCCAATAGCATACCAAGTCTCTGCATCTAGACCCTGTTCTACGCTAGATCCTCCACACCGGCCAAACGCAATCCATGCGGAAAACAATGTCAAAACCTTATGACAAAGTCCTCACCTTCTGGTTTGGCCAGAAAGGCTCCCAAGAGTATCTTCAACAAAAGCCATTTTGGTACGGAAGTCCCTCCGACGACGCCTACGTTCGCAAGCACCTTGGATCCGACTACGCAGCCGCCAAAACAGGGGCTCTCGACGCCTGGAAGTTGGACGGCCAAGGAGAGGGTGCGCTAGCCCTAATCCTTCTCCTAGACCAAGTCCCCCGGAATATCTTTCGCGATACCCCCCAAGCATATGCAACGGACTCCAAGGCAGTTGCTGTAGCCCGATATGCCGTGGACCAGGGTTGGGACAAGAATATGCCTGCGATCCAGCGACGATACATGTATTCGCCGTTCAACCATTCAGAGGACCTGAAAGATCAGGAGATGTCGCTGAGGCTATTCACAGAGCTGGGGGATAATTATCATTTGCATTGGGCAAAGAGCTTTCACGACCAGATCAAGCGAGATGGGAGGTTTGTGCATCGTGATCGGATCTTGGGGCGATAGATTATTTGTCCGGTGATATACCCTCTAGTGCCATGTCTATGGGTATTATTGAATACACCGCCATCAAAAGGATCTATTCGTGCCTCCAGAGTATCAGCGCGAATAGGAGGACATGCGGGTCTCCAACCGAAAACCTCCACACCCTGTTCTAGTGACTGCCGGCAATGCGCCAAAGCACCAGCCTAGCTTGGCATACTGATTTTAGAAACTAAAGATTGTAATCAGTGTAAGATCAATAAGAAAAAAATGTATGAAGGGTAGATCCTATGTTACTACATGACCTACTTGGGCGATAACTCGAAGCGTTAGACAATGTCCAACGATATGGTATTCACAGTTATCCCTGCAATACATCAATACTCAATTGCTCTGCCGACTTTCTCCATGACAAGATGTTCGGTACCGACAGGAGACTCGCTCACATTGAAACACGATGCGAGAACCCTTGGGGCAGGGAAGTGTAGAACATTTCTCACCTAGTAAGACATCCACTAGTGGTAATTTGAGTTGGAAGGCAGCGGAACTTCTCTGTAGATTGACTTGTGTTCAACGTTACCAAATTCGACGAGATCAAAGTGCTACCAAAGTCTTATCTTTCTACGAAGGAAGCTACTTGTCATTACGTTCCCCAAGAAATTGCTGGTAGGAAAGGGACGATCCATCGCGGGCTTACTAAACAACACTAACCCCAACTAGTATAGCCCTAACAACAGCACTTCAGGCTTCCATACAGGGATAGGGACGACTAAGAACCCTTGGATCTGCGAAACAACCTTATCTGACCTGTGGCAAGGTCATTGAGATCTCCAGCGAGGAACAGCTGCTGCTACGACATAATAAAGAGGCAAAAATCCAAACGGTTTGCCTCGCATATCGTTGACGTCACTACCAGCTGTCAACGAACCATAAGGGTAAGAGGTTTTGCTCTACCAGTTCTTCATTCTGATTTAACCAAGAAAATGCCAGGGCACGTGGCTTGGCAAGCCATTTGCTGTAAGTTATCACTTCTTTGCCTACATCGTTAAAACGTCTACAAACAACTATGCCTTCTTCAAACGGTTCAAGATTCAACTGTCTGCTCGAAAAAACTCCAATGGTTAGCTTGGGAGATAGGCAATCAAAACTTCTACTCTTATATACTTCTCACTAATAGGAGACCTCCGGTTTGCGAAATTCATCATGGTATGGAGTCAGATCAACCCTACATCACTCCATCTCAGCTTCTTGTTCCTCTCGGGCAGTATCCTCCTATATACTGTGCTTTCACGTTTTCTAAAAGAAACACTCCTTCTGGCAGAACCACCGCTCGCTACTTTGGTCGGTATTCTGACTGGGCCCGCGGTGTTGGGTGCCGTTGAGCCCCAGCCGTGGAAGCTCGGCGATCAAGTCACCAAGGAACTAGCACGACTCACTGCGAGTATGCAGGTATTCATCGTGGGCATTGAGCTCCCTGCGGGATACTGCAGGAAGCACTGGAAAGGAATCAGCATCCTTCTTGGCCCTATCATGACAGGTGGCTGGGTCGTATGTGCGATGCTGGTCCATCTGGTTTTCGGTGCTAGCTATCCGTCTGCGCTCGTCATCAGCGCTTGCCTCACTCCCACCGATCCGGTGCTGGTCGCGACCATCCTGGAGGACCCCAAGGCGACTAGCGACCGTATTAAGTATCTTCTGGCCGCAGAGTCTGGCGTGAATGATGGCACCTCGTTCCCATTCCTATATCTCGGGATTTTTATCCTGAAGGAGCATTCTGTTGGTGCTGTGCTGCGGGAATACTTTACGGTGACAATAGCATACCAATGCATAGCAAGTGTTGCTGTCGGGATAAGTCTTGGTTATGGAGCCAATAGGCTCCTCCGGTATTCCCACGAGCGTGGTAGGATTACTGAAAACTTCGTTGCTCTGTTCCCCTTAGCTCTGATCTTCTTCAGCTTAGGATTCTCAAGCACGATGGGGATGGATGATTTCCTACTTATCTTCAGCGCAGGCATCGGATATGCTTACCACGGCCGGCTTGAACACGCCTACCAGGTAAATCCAGTGGCTACCTCCTTCATCAGCTTCTCTCTCAGCATAGCGACGTTTATCTATTTTGGCCTGATGATCCCTTGGACCGCTGTCGCAGATACACCACAGTTATCATTGTCAAAAATTGGGATATTCGTACTCCTTGTTCTGCTGTTTCGTCGAATCCCTTTTATTCTCGCACTGAAGCCATTTATTCCCGATATCAAAACGTACAAGGAGGCGCTCTTCTGCGGTCACTTTGGACCCATGGGTGTTGGTGCTCTATTTTTGTCCATAGAGGCCAGGGAAATCCTTAAGTCCTCATGTTCCCGAACACAGACACAGCAAGGTGACAAGTGGGACCAGTATTCCTGTGAAACTGTGGAGTTGGTCTGGCCAGTTGTTTGCTTTACTGTTTTAGGCTCTGTTGTGGTGCATGGCTTGAGTATGAGCATTGCGAAATTTGTTCGGACTGTTATGTGCGCTCGAAAGCAGCATATCAAGTCATCATGTGCCTCAGATATCCCCAGCACAAGTTCTGAAAGCATGGATGATGGATTGTATCATGATGAAGAGAGTCTAATCTAGAGTTGATGAAGGTTCGAGAGATAAATCATTTCTGCTAGATTGGGAGAGTTGGAAGACACTTAGAGACTATCCTAGATTTAAGAGTATGTCCTAGAATGAATAGTGAACTTTTCTACAAGAATAGCTTGCTTCGGTTAATATGTTATCACGTATGGAAACTATGTAAAGAGAGAACCTTTTAACGACCCTCTTTGGTTCTTGTCCATTTCCCGCTGTGCAGCGTTCGGATATCAAGCTAACCCCTAAACACGGTCCAAGAGTGTACACTACCATCATACCCCGTCAGTGCTCTTCCTCTACCCTTACTAGATTAGATCTGTCTGCTATCTTTCCTGCCAATTCCATCAAGGATGAACTAGCTAAGATGTCCAGAATAGGCACCATGCCCTCCATGTGCTTGGAGATCCAATTCCGGAGTTCGACCGCTACATGGGAATCAATCCCGTACTCCGTAATTGGGCCAGTAGGGTTGATGCTGTCAACTGGAATTGAGAGATTAGTCGCGACTCGAGCGCTTAAAGCTGTGTAGATCACTGCTGCAGCATCTTCAAGGGTCTTTGTAGCCTGGAGGTCCTGTCTCAGCGTATCGGGAATTTCGGCCTGGGCGTTGACTGACGTGTCTAGATGGAGTCGACGAAAGTGGGAGAAAAGAGGTGCATCAAAATTGGCCAGTGATCGACCTGGTTTCCACTGACCTAACCCGGTAATAATTTGGGAGATCGTTCTGTCTTCCTGGCAGCTCATGATCGCTACCTCAATCAGTGACATAAGGGTCTTGGTGTCAGTTCCCTGGAATCCTTGTTGTCCCATTCTCGATGCCAGTTCTTTGTTCTCGGCTAGATAGCCCACATCCGTGATTACTCCTAGATCTAAGGATACGGCTGGAAGGCCTAAGGAGTTGCGGTATGCTGCGAACGAGTCCATGAATGTTGAGCCGGCGGCGTAGGCGGCCT